AGTCGGGGAGCGAGGCAGGCTAGTGGAAGGAAAATAAGATCTTAAAACACTCGGCAGGTCGTAGATTCCAATCTAGAGAGCGAACTCGCACGTTACTACTTGTGGAAGAGGCAATACTCTTACACCAGATGTCAGCTCCCTATAAAAGCTCCGGCCTGATTTGTCACAGGTGTGCTGGGGATCCTGCGAATCACCGCCCTGCCTACCCTGCGCTGAAAAAGAAAACAAAAACACACACACACACCAGCCCCTAATAGAAAGTGGTAGAGACGTGTGTGTGACTTGCATGCTGGAGTGTGAAAAGCGCAGACTGATATTTAATCGTTTCTGTGTTTGAAGGTTGATGAGATCTACTCAGTTCCTGACGTTGGGACTGTGGTTGGAGGAACTCTGTACAGGTGAGAAAGCACTGTCTGCTTTAATATGTTGTCAATATTACTTTAAATTTTATTCTTGAAACAGTGGGAACCCCAAATATTCATAGAGATATATATAACACATGACTTTTATAAGAATAGAATCTTTGATGATATATCGCAGCTTTTCATTTTACGGGTCCGTGGTTGGACACAGACCAGGTCTTTGTAATCATGGAAAGTGTCGTGCATTACACTAAGAACAGTTTGTGTTTGTGTGTCTGTGTTTCAGTGGGATGTGTAGGGAGGGTGAGAGGCTGGTGGTGGGTCCAACTGATGAGGGCCGTTTTCTGCGTCTGAAGGTGGGCAGTATCCAGAGGAACCGCTCTGCCTGCAGAGTGCTGAGGGCTGGACAGGCTGCAACGCTGGCTCTGGGAAACTTTGACCGTTCACTATTGCGCAAGGTCAGAGGCCAAAGACATGAAAGGATGTAGGAGATGATTTAAAGGAGGATTCAGTTTTTGTTGTTTTTTTTAAATGTAACTTGCACAAATCCATACATCTCTGTGTGTATATTGCATATTTTGTTTGCTCTCTTTTATTTATACTGGAAGTTACTTTCCAGTTCCTTTGAGAATTTGGAAAACACAGAAGGAAAGATCGCAGTCGACCTTCACGGTCGCAGTTTTTCAAATTTATTAATGGTGTTTAATTTCTCTGCGAAACACAGACCAGACTCCTGCTAAAAATACAGAGTATTCTGTTATTAGTTCAGGATCTTTACCTTACAATATAAAGAGGTAACTTGTTTGAATTGTCCCCCAATGTGTTGAGGAAAGGATCTCTATAATTGGCAAGGACAGACGACAACCCAAAATGTTCTAACGTACATGCAAGAATTGTCGAGGAAGTAAAAACTCTGCAAACCCTACATACAAAGTGTCTCAATCAATTTATCTTTCCTTGATATAGTGACTTCTTCTGTGACTCTAAAACTCAACAACTTCACTCAGTTTAAATTTGCACAGTGTACCCTTGTAGGTCATCTCCTCATGCACCTCTGGACTGCTGTCAGTACAGCTGCTGTTATCAGATTACTATGGGCTCTTACTGTGGTCATAAATATTTTGTACTTGTAAATCAGCCTGCGTAGTTGTAACTCTGTGCTCAAGTTCCCTCGCTTGTGTGTGAGTTTCAACTTAAAAGTACAAATTTTGACCAGAAATTTCTTCCTTTCAGCTATAACTTGTAATTATTTTTTA